TCAGAATCTCAGAATCTCAAAATCTCATAGTCTCAGAATCTCAAAATCTCAGAGTCTCAGAATCTCAGAATCTCAAGAATCTCAGAATCTCAGAATCGCAGAATCTCAGAATCTCAGAATCTCAGAATCTCAGAATCTCAAAATCTCATAGTCTCAGAATCTCAAAATCTCAGAATCTCAGAATCTCAGAATCTCAAAATCTCATAGTCTCAGAATCTCAAAATCTCAGAGTCTCAGAATCTCAGAATCTCAAGAATCTCAGAATCTCAGAATCGCAGAATCTCAGAATCTCAAGAATCTCAGAATCTCAGAATCTCAGAATCTCAAAATCTCAGAATCTCAGAATCTCAAAATCTCAGAGTCTCAGAATCTCAGAATCCAAGAATCTCAGAATCTCAGAATCTCAAAATCTCAGAATCTCAGAATCTCAAAATCTCAGAGTCTCAGAATCTCAGAATCCAAGAATCTCAGAATCTCAGAATTTCAGAATCTTAGAATCTCAGAATTTCAGAATCTCAGAATCTCAGAATCTCAGAATCTCAAAATCTCAGAATCTCAAAATCTCAGAATCTCAGAATCTCAGAAAGAATACATGGTTCATGGCTAGAAAGTACGAGAAACTGTATGCATTTGAATCGAATTCTGGATAATTTCCAGAAATTTCCGCTGGAAGAGCTCCAAAACTCGGCCAGGGGCGCACCTCGATTAGACCCTGGAAACGTTCAAAAATTCAAAATTCCAGCGCATAAGCTAGCTCACCATAACCCTAAAATAATCCAGCACTTGTTTCACTTCTCTCGTCCCAGAATGGAAATAAACAATGAACCGTGTGGCTCCCTGAGCTCTCCATGCTTCCAAATACAGTAAGATATTTTGCCATTGGGTGTAATAATAAATCGGTTGGAGGCATACAGTAATCCCTTCTTCCGAAAATCTATGCTCAATTATTTTCAACTCCGAGGCTCACTTTTCGATGGCCCATGTGGATGACAATCTGGAAGCAATCAGTGGCCTAGAACCCCTAAATTTGAGGTTTCTAGGTCATGGCCTAATTTTTTTCGATTTTCAGGTCATGGTTTAATTTTTTGAGTTTCCTAGGCCATTACCTAATTTTTTGGATTTTCTAGGTCATGGCCTAATTTTTGGATTTTTTAGGCCATGACCTAATTTACGAATTTTCTAGGTCATGACCTAATTTTCAAATTTTCTAGGTTATGACCTAATTTACGAATTTTCTAGGCTATTACCTAATTTTTTGGAATTTCTTGGTCATGACCTATTTTTTGGATTTTTTCGGCCATGACCTAATTTTTGGATTTTTTAGGCCATGACCTATTATTTCTAGGTCATGACCTAATTTTTTTGATTTTCCTAGGCCATTACCTAATTTTTTGGATTTTCTATGTCATGGCCTAATATTTGGATTTTTTCGGCCATGACCTATTTTTTCTAGGTCATGACCTAATTTGTTGGATTTTCTAGGTTATGACCTAATTTACGAATTTTCTAGGCCATTACCTAATTTTTTGGAATTTCTAGGTCATGACCTAGATTTTCGAATTTTCTAGGCTATTACCTAATTTTTGGATTTTCTAGGTCATGACCTAATTTTTTGGATTTTTTAGGCCATGACCTATTTTTTCTAGGTCATGACCTAATTTGTTGGATTTTCTAGGTTATGTCCTAATTTACGAATTTTCTAGGTCATGACCTAATTTGTTGGATTTTCTAGGTTATGACCTAATTTACGAATTTTCTAGGCTATTACCTAATTTTTGGATTTTCTAGGTCATGACCTAATTTTTTGGATTTTTTAGGCCATGACCTATTTTTTCTAGATCATGACCTAATTTACGAATTTTCTAGGTCATTACCTAATTTTTTGGATTTTCTATGTCATGGCCTAATTTTTGGATTTTTTCGGCCATGACCTATTTTTTCTAGGTCATGACCTAATTTTTTGGATTTTTTAGGTCATGACCTAATTTTCGAATTTTCTAGGTCATGACCTAATTTTCGAATTTTCTAGGCTATTACCTAATTTTTGGATTTTCTAGGTCATGACCTAATTTTTTGGATTTTTTAGGCCATGACCTATTTTTTCTAGATCATGACCTAATTTACGAATTTTCTAGGTCATTACCTAATTTTTTGGATTTTCTATGTCATGTCCTAATTTTTGGATTTTTTCGGCCATGACCTATTTTTTCTAGGTCATGACCTAATTTTTTGGATTTTTAGGTCATGACCTAATTTTCGAATTTTCTAGGTCATGACCTAATTTTCGAATTTTCTAGGCTATTACCTAATTTTTGGGTTTTCTAGGTCATGACCTAATTTTTTGGATTTTCTATGTCATGGCCTAATTTTTGGATTTTTTCGGCCATGACCTATTTTTTCTAGGTCATGACCTAATTTTTTGGATTTTTTAGGTCATGACCTAATTTTCGAATTTTCTAGGTCATGACCTAATTTTCGAATTTTCTAGGTCATGACCTAATTTTCGAATTTTCTAGGCTATTACCTAATTTTTGGGTTTTCTAGGTCATGACCTAATTTTTTTGGATTTTCTATGCCACCAAACCTTTTCCAGTTCTCCAGAAGACGTCAAATTCGCAACAAAAGTGTTTGCCACATAAAAACATGGAGTTGCTGAAATTCCAGATGAATCCCGACAATTCGCTTTATGAGCGTCCCCAAAAATTTTCAGAACTTTTGGACTTCTGACTCCCTTCGAGAAGACGTCAACCTCCAAATATTGATTTTCTAGTAAACATCCAGCGAGGGTGAAGATTCGAAGACGTGGTGGAGAGGTTCTGGAAGATTCAAATTTCCCGCCAAGCCGAAAATTTGAAAAATTGAAGTTTTTACCTAAAATCCACATAAGCGTCTTTGTAGAAGGTGACTGGGAAGGAGGAGTTGATTGGTTCACTTCTGACAATGTGAAATTTTGAAAATTGGGTTTCTAGGCCAAGACTTAGAAAACTCAAAATTTGGAAAACTAGTTCGTGACCTAGCTAACTCAAAATCGTGGCCTAGAAACCCTAAAATTTGGAAAACCAGGCCATGACCTAGAAAACCATAACTTACCAAAACTAGGTCATGGCCTAGAAAATCCTCTTAGCGTGGCCTAGCTTCGCGAATTTTGAATTTTCTAAGCCATGGCCTAGTTTTCCATATTTTTGGCTTTCTAGCCCACTTCTCACTTTTCATCCAGGATCCGCAAATGGGGTGGAACTTGTGGCAGCTCGTAATTGACACATTTTGTGAAGGAGATGCGAAATGAAAGAATCAATAAAAGCAGAAAATTCATTTTTCTGGCTGGAAAAAATGGATCTGAAACTAACTAATATTTTCAGGTTTTTTTGAAGATTTAAAAATTTATACATGTGAAAACGTGGATTTGGGAATGTATGTGTTTTTTGGCCTTTTTCTTTTTTTCAGAGTTTTCGATTATTCTAAATTTTTGAAATTCTGAATTCTTGAAGTTTTGTTTTTCTGATCTCCCAAAAAGTATATTATTGTGATATTCACCCAATTTCATCTGATTTCACTCTGGCATATTTTACCCATAATTTTATGAGTTTATTTTCATTTTAGAAAAATGCCAAAAATTATATGTTTTACCCAGAAAATAATTATAAAAACCACCTAAAAAATGCCGAAAACATCATTTAAAATGACTCATTGTGAATTATTCCGAAAGTCTGAAACTCAGAAATTTTCGAATTTGCAAGATTCATAATTCTGAACCTTTGATATTTAGAAATTCAGAATTTCAGAAACTGTGCGATTCTGAGTTTCTGAGATTCTGGGATTTTGAGATTCTGAGATTCTGGGATTTTGAGATTCTGAGATTTTTTTTTTCTTAGAATCTGAGATTCTGAGGTTCTGAGATTCTGAGATTCTGAGAATCTTAGAATCTGAGATTCTGAGATTCCAAGATTCTGATATTCTGAGATTCTGAGATTCTGAGATTCTGTGATTCTGAGATTCTGTGATTCTGAGATTCTGAGATTCTGAGATTCTGAGATTCTGAGATTCTGAAATTCTGAGAATCCGAGATTCTGAAATTCTGAGATTCTGAGATTCTGAGATTCTGAGATTCTGAGATTCTGAGATTCTGAGATTCTGTGATTCTGAGATTCTGAGATTCTGAGATTCTGAGATTCTGAGATTCTGAGAATCCGAGATTCTGAAATTCTGAGATTCTGAGATTCTGAGATTCTGGAAAAATTCTGAAATGCTGAAATTCAAAATTTCAGAATATTCTGGGACATTTTTGATTACAAAAAAAGCGTATTCGTATAGAATTATACGTAATTTGTTAGCTCCCCAAATCTAGTCTTATTTCAATCGTCCTAATCCTCCAAATCCTTTCATTTTTTCCCTAATCTGGTCCATATTTTTTAGATTAAAGCGGATTCATACATTTTTTATGACGCAAGATAACATTTGAAAATGTTTTTTCTAGAAAAAAATGACTTGAAATATCAAAAATCGGATTTTCAGAATTTCTAAAATTTCAAAAATTTTGAATTTTCGAACTTCACAATTTTTGATTTTTGAACTCAATTCTCAATTTTCGAATTCCCTCTTTTTTGTTCAATAAAATCCTCAAAAAGAACGAAACATTTTTTTTTGGTAAATTGCGCACTTCTTCTTCTTCTTTTTCTTCTTTTTCGTTCTCTATTGAAAATTGAGCACTAGAGCGGAAGAGAAAAAAGAAGAAAAAGATAAAAAAGAGACCGTTTGGGAACTACAAAAAGTATCCGACGAATTTTTCTGAGAAAAGTTTCCAGGTTTCAATTTTGCGATGTTTTCCGATTTTCCATATTTTTAAAGTTTTTGAATGTTTTAATGCGATTCCACGAATTTTTCTGAATTTCTGAGCTTCTGAATTTTTGAATTTCTGAATTTCTGAATTTCTGAATTTCTGAATTTCTGAATTTCTGAATTTCTGAATTTCTGAATTTCTGAATTTCTGAATTTCTGAATTTCTGAATTTCTGAATTTCTGAATTTCTGAATTTCTGAATTTCTGAATTTCTGAATTTCTGAATTTCTGAATTTCTGAATTTCTGAATTTCTGAATTTCTGAATTTCTGAATTTCTGAATTTCTGAATTTCTGAATTTCTGAATTTCTGAATTTCTGAATTTCTGAATTTCTGAATTTCTGAATTTCTGAATTTCTGAATTTCTGAATTTCTGAATTTCTGAATTTAATTTCTGAATTTCTGAATTTCTGAATTTCTGAATTTCTGAATTTCTGAATTTCTGAATTTCTGAATTTCTGAATTTCTGAATTTCTGAATTTCTGAATTTCTGAATTTCTGAATTTCTGAATTTCTGAATTTCTGAATTTCTGAATTTCTGAATTTCTGAATTTCTGAATTTCTGAATTTCTGAATTTCTGAATTTCTGAATTTCTGAATTTCTGAATTTCTGAATTTCTGAATTTCTGAATTTCTGAATTTCTGAATTTCTGAATTTCTGAATTTCTGAATTTCTGAATTTCTGAATTTCTGAATTTCTGAATTTCTGAATTTCTGAATTTCTGAGTTCCAGATTCTCTCGATTTCTGTGTAGTTTGATTCAGAATTTCGAAAAATGAGAAGGCATGACTTCTCTAGAATTTCTCAGTAAAACAACAAATTGTTAACGCATTCTGATTTTCAGAAGACGTCAGTAGGAAATCAGGAATTTAAAACTACAAAAACTACAAAATTTTGAATACGGATCAGATGATTTTGAAAAATATTTTTGAAGAAAAAATTTGATCTTTTGAATTTTTGGAGATTTCGAAATTTCGAAAATCTAAAATTTTTAAAAAAATTTTCCTTTTTTACTCTGAAACCTATAATTTCCCCTTTTTTCGTCGCGCGATTTTCAAAAAAAAAAAGGCTCCGCCCACTTTTTTTCGGCTCGTGGGAGGATTATATACGTTTTGTACCAGTCGATTTCCGCCGCCTGTCGGCGGCTACAATCACACTCAAAGGAGGCCAGACATGAAAATTTTCAAAATTCTATTTTTCTGATATCTGACACAGTACAGTCAGAAAATAACAATGGACACCAAACCATAACTCCTTGTTACTGTACAAGCAAGAACGCGGCCGTTCTTCCAAGCGGCGCCGACTCCTCGTTTCATAATCGTCTTAGTGGCAGTAGACGACAAGCCCCCTGTGGTGTAGAGGTGAACGCGCTTGTCTGTCAGTCGCGCGTCGCGGGTTCGATTCTCATCTGTGGGTTTTCGTTTTTTTCTGCTTTCATGCGGCGAAATCCTAGAATGGCCGAATAACTAGAAAAACTCGGGAGTAATTGCCAAACAGTGAAGAAATCTAGTGTATATTGAAAAAAAAAATAAATGCTCGTCAAGTAGCGCGCATTGGTCGCAATCGCACGATTTTCCGTCAGAATACATGATCTCGCTCCAAGAAAACTCCGTAGACTTTCGTGTCTGGCCTCCTTTAAAACGTTCGAATCTCAAAACTTGAGGAAATAAAAGAAGAAGTTTTGATTGAATGTGAAAAATTGTTAACTTTCTGGTTTTTTCCTCCCGAATTTTCAAATTTTCCAATGTCGGTTTGCGCCCCTCCGGGCTAAACCTACTGGCCTCTGCTAACAATAACTTGCCACTCCAAAAAGAGATTTCAATACCTTTTCTAGCTCCAAAATCGGAAAATTCTAGACTTCGACATTCAGAGTTTCTGAAAACCTAAATTAGGAAACGCGGAATGCGGTAATTTCGGAGTTTATCAACTCGGAAATTAAGATATTCAGAATTTTGGGGCTCAATCTTCTGGCTTCCGCATACTGTATCTTACAATTCAATTTCAAAATTTCAGATTTTTCGAAGTCACAAAAATTCCTGAATATCTAATTTTCCAAATTTTCAAAGTTTCGAAACTACTTATGACTGAGATCTATAAGTTCTGAAATTCGGATTGAATGGTTTTCCGGTTTCTTAAAGTTCCAAATGTTTCGATATCTAAGTTTCAGAATTTTTGTATTTCCTGGTTTCCGAAAATTCCAAATTTCGAAAAATTTTTGAATTCAGTCGGTTTGCCTCCTGGCTCCCGCTTACATTGCGTTATCTTATAGTGAGGGCTTGTCAACTATTCGAAAATCTGACCGTCTGGAATTTGGAAAATTAGTATTAGGTTGTTCGAAAAGTAATGGGCGTTTAGTGCGAACTACTTCGACTTCCAGCTATCTTAGTTCCTGAAGAGGTCTTTGAGCATGTGTTGTTGGAAAGTGGTAGACGATGATGGAGAAAAGCCCCTTGATGAATCTTATCTTGTTTCAGTTCTGCATTAAAGGTGGGGGTACAGGAGATTTTTCGTAGTTTTTTTGTAGCTAGAGTATGCATTCTACCGTCACGGTGTACAACGCTCAATGTCACTCTGCGTACATCTGTCGTCCTCGCCTTTATGTATGCAATCGGGCGTCCGCTTTCTCTTTGCCCGCGTGGCTCAGTCGGTAGCGGCGCCGCACCCTCAATCATCGCCCTCATAAGTTCAACTCCTCGAGGGGCATCTTTGAACGGAATTTCGAGAACATTATTTTTTTCATGTCCCCCCACCTTTAATATTTCCGATTTCCGGGAATTCGAAAATTCCTAATTTCGCTTGATGAACGACTGGACAGCTCCCGCTTATAATGCCCATAATCATGCAAAAAAAGTACCAAATTAGATCACCTTTTTTGTCTTTTTTTAATAGTTTCTTTGCTCTCTGAAGTTCGAAAATTTGAGAAATTGAGAACCCGGAAATTTGGAAATTCAGAATATCTACGTTTCGAAATGAACAAAGTCTTCAGGAGTTCTTGGAACTTCGGAATATCAGAAGTTTATAGATTCACGAATTCGAAAATCATAATTTCCAAAAACTCAGAAACTCCGAAATTTGGAAACCTGAAAAGTTCTAAAATCAGAAATTCTGAAATGTTTTTTGCAAATTTGGTGAATAAGGAAAATCCAAAATTTAGAAATTCCAGAATTTGGAAATTCAGAAATTAAGTTATGAAATTCTTAAAAGTTGAAATCCTGAAAATTCGAGTGATCCAGAAAGCGCGATCTTATGTTTCCTCGTAATCTATTTTTTCCTGTTTCAGAATTTTTCCCTTTCAAATAATCAAAAACTCAGACTAAACTAACGTTTCCTCAAAATCACCTCTCTCCCAGAAATAGCGTGGATAAGAAAAAAATTTGGGCGGCTAAACGGGGATGACGTAAAAATTGTTTTAATAATTTTCTAAAAATTTGCTCCGTAGAAACAGAATAACGTCTCCAGAAGGCGTCAAACTCAAAATTTCGAAACATAAAATAGACGGGCATCATCTCGCTGCTATTTCGGGTCATCTGTGAAAATTTGGGAAAGTTTGGCCCATTCTGGACTTCGATAGGGCAGGTGACCCGGGAACACCGGACACACACACACACACAGAATTTGGTGATTATTAATAGTAAAGATCCCCCGTTTTGATAAAATCCAAAAATAAATACATTTTTATTTTTTTTTTAATGGGAATCACGAGTTTCAGAATGTCGTCAGAGTTCTTTCGGATTATCTGAAAAAGGCTGAAAATAATTTTTGGAAAAATTGAATTTCCGGCGGGAAATGGGATTTTTCGGAACATATTTTTGGTTATTGGAAAGTTAAGAAGTCTGGGAAATCGAGATTTTTCGAGTATTAGATTTTCGGGACTCCGGAATTTCGGAGCTTCCGAATCCGAAGATTTCGGAATTTCAGAATCATGGATCTTCCAAAATCCCGAAACTCCAAAAATCGAAAAAATCGAATTTTTTTTCTTCAAAAATATTTTTCAAAATCATCTGATCCGAATCCAAATTTTTGTAGTTTTTGTAGTTTGTCACAAGATTTCCTACTGACGTCTTCAAAATCAGTATCCGTGAACAATTTTTTGTTTTTCTCTGAAAATTTCTAGAAAGTCACGTCTTCTGATTTTTCTGAATCCTGCATTAAACTACACAGAAATTCAGAAGTTTAAAATCTCAGAATCTCAGAAGTTCAGAATCTCAGGATCTCAGAATCTCAGAATCTCAGAATCTCAGAATTCCAGAATCTCAGAATTCCAGAATCTCAGAATCTCAGAATCTCAGAAGCTCAGAATCTCAGAATCTCAAAATCTCAGAATCTCAGAATCTCAGAATCTCAGAAGCTCAGAATCTCAGAATCTCAGAATCTCAGAAGCTCAGAATCTCAGAATCTCAAATCTCAGAATCTCAAAATCTCAGAATCTCAAAATCTCACAATCAGAATCTCAGAATCTCAGAATCTCAGAATCTCAGAATCTCTGAATCTCTGAATCTCAGAATCTCAGACTCTCTGAATATGTCGATCATGATCTGGGAATTGTAGAATTTCGAGTTCTTGGATTTTAGATTTCAGAATCTTATATTAGAATCTGAGAATCTCAGAATCTCAGAATCTCAGAATCTCAGAATCTCAGAATCTCAGAATCTCAGAATCTCAGAATCTCAGAATCTCAGAATCTCAGAATCTCAGAATCTCAGAATCTCAGAATTACAGTATCTCATTTCTGAATTTCTGATTTTCTGAATTCCAGAAATTCAAAAAAAAAAAGAATTCCAGAAATTCAAAACACTCTTTGGTCTTTTTTTCTATTTCTGTTTCCTCCAAAATGATTTATATTTCATGATATAAATAAGAAAGGGAGAGAGAGAAAGCGGAAATTAAGAAAGCCACAAAAACATTTTCATTTTGATTAAATTTTACGTTTCCCCCTCTCTTTTTTCCCTTCTTTTTGCTTTTTTTTGTTCTTCTTCTTTTCCTTCTTCTTATTCTTTTATCCCCGTAAGACCAGAATGGATTTTTTGAGATTCTGAAATTCCCGGATTCTGGGATTCAGAAATTCAGATTCTCATTCTTCATCCAAATCTCAAAATTTCCAAATTCCAAAAATCAAATTTTGATCTTGAGAAACATAAAAATCATCAGATCCAAAACCACACATTTCGTAGTTTTTGTCACAAGATTCTGATTCGTAATAACGTCTTCAGAATAAGAATTCGTGAACAATTTTCCGTTGTTTTCTGACAAATTACTAGAAATTAAGAGTCTTTTTGTCAAGATGAGAGATTCCAAGTAATCTCCCGGTCGTCAACTTGAATCAGGCGCATGGTCGATGTGAAAGAGTCTCGAAACTCGAGAAATTTGGAGATGTCACCCGAGAAGGTGGGGATTTTCATTTGAGGGACAGCAAGACGAGATTGGTGACTAACCACAATGTTACGTCCTGATGATGGAATTGGTACGATTGGATCAGCGTTTGATCCCACGTTGATGATGAAGTCGGATTCGGCGTTGGTGGATTGATTGGTTTGGTTGAGGTTGGAAGTTGAGTTGGGCATTTCCATTTGCCCGCCATTGGTTGGTGGTTGAGTGATTGGTGTTTGAGTTGATGTGGCATCTCCGATGAAGTCGTCTGCGGCTTGCATCTGTGAGGTTTTTGTGGGATCCAGAAGTTCCAATTGTTTGAGTCCAAATTTGTAAATTGGTCGGAGTTTCTCAAGTTGCTCGAGAGCAGTAGTGAGGGAATCTTTATAATTATATTTGAGATTCTGAGATTCTGAGATTCTGAGATTCTGAGATTCTGAGATTCTGGGATTCTGTGTTTCTGAGATTCTGAGATTCTGAGATTCTGAGATTCTGAGATTCTGAGATTCTGAGATTCTGAGATTCTGAGATTCTGAGATTCTGAGATTCTGAGATTCTGAGTTTCTGAGTTTCTGAGATTCTGAGATTCTGAGATTCTGAGATTCTGAGATTCTGAGATTCTGAGATACTGAGATTCTGAGATTCTGAGTTTCTGAGTTTCTGAGATTCTGAGTTTCTGAGTTTCTGAGATTCTGAGATTCTGAAAAATCCAAACAATTCAAAAGTCTCAAAAATTCTGAAATTCTGAAATTTCAGAACTTTTCAAATTTTCAGATTTTCAGATTTCCAGTTTTATTTTTTGGACTTTCAAAAAATCAAAAATCAAAAATTCTGATGATTCAGTCATATATGTATTCAGAAACCAATTTTTTTCACCTGTTCTTAAAATTTTTTTTATTTTAGAAAAAAAAAATTTCAAATTATTTTTTCAATATTCCAGTGGAATTCAATTTTAGGCCACTTTCAAGGATATTTGGACTATTTGAAGTGTTTTTAGTCGATTTTCAGCATATTTTCAGCCGTTTCATCCACTTCCAGACCATTTTTTCGAATTTTTGAACTCATTAAAAATTCAAAAATCTCAAATTTCAGACTCCACCAAAATTTTTCAGCCCTCGTGACTTTTCTGAAAATTCCAAAATTCTATTTTCTCCCATCAACAATCCTCTACATCATCAGATTCTTCATTCTCACATGATAATAGTGGGCGTGGGAAAATAGGCTCCGCCCCTTTTTGCATGGGATTAGTGGAGCATAATGTATACACATGAATAACCTTTACTTGAATAATAATGATGACATAAAAGTGGGCGGAGCCTAGTTTTTCATTTTCTAAAAAGTATAAAAAGAGAGCCTCTTTCAGTAATCTTCGTTTCATGTTTTTGACTGGACTTTTCTATTTTTTCAATAATCCTCTCGATTTACGTAAATTCTGAAACTAATCTCAATGTTTTTCGGATTACTGTAGCTTCAAAAATAGTGTTTTTCAGAAATGATGACTTCTGAGGTTCCAGATGATTCGAAGAGCATTTTGAAGGGACAATATGAGGATGAGCAGAAGTTGAACAATTTTCGAGACCGAACTTATTACAAGTTGAGCCAGAAAGGCATACGGTAGGTAGTTGGGTTTTTGGGTTACTGTAGTTTTTTGAATTTATGAATTTTTCTGAGATTCTGAGACTCTGAGATTCTGAGATTCTGAGATTCTGAGATTCTGAGATTCTGAGATTCTGAGATTCTGAGATTCTGAGATTCTGAGATTCTGAGATTCTGAGATTCTAAGATTCTGAGATTCTGAGATTCTGAGATTCTGAGAATCTGAGATTCTGAGATTTTGAGATTCTGAGATTCTGAGATTCTGAGATTCTGAGATTCTGAGATTCTGAGATTCTGAGATTCTGAGATTCTGAGATTCTGAGATTCTGAGTTTCTGAGTTTCTGAGATTCTGAGATTCAGTAATTCTGAGATTCTGAGATTCTGAGATTCTGAGATTCTGAGATTCTGAGATTCTGAGTTTCTGAGTTTCTGAGATTCTGAGATTCTGAGATTCTGAGATTCTGAGATTCTGAGATTCTGAGATTCTGAGATTCTGAGATTCTGAGATTCTGAGATTCTGAGATTCTGAGATTCTGAGATTCGGAAATTCTAAAATTCTAAAATTCCCAAAATCCCAAAAAAACCAGAATTCCAAAAAATCCCAAAAATTCTATAGAAATCAAAGAATCTCAAAAAACACAAAAGATTCAAAAATTTCTGAAATTCTCAATTTTCAACAATTTTTTGAAGAATCCCGAATATTCCAAAACTGTCAAAAATCAAAAAATCCCGAAAAACTCCCTAAAATTCCAAAAAATTCAGAATTTCAGAGTTTTAGAACTTTAGGATTCTATTATTTCAAAATTTTCACATTTCTGAAATTCAAAAATTCAAAAACTTCTAAAAATTCAATAATTCTGAAATTCTGAAAAAATCTCAAATCCTAAACTTCCAGATCATGATCGACATGCTCCCCCTAAAGAAGCCGGTCCCCAAGAAACCGTCTCCAAAGTCTCCAACCATGAAATCGCCAGCGGCAATTTCTCCAATCGAAATCAAATCTCCAACAATTCAAATCCCAAAAATCGTCAAAGCGAAAAAAGAAATCAGAAAGTACGCTCCAATGATGGCTCAGTGCTTGAAGATCTACAAATCCGCGAGTTTGGGATAAGTCGAAAATGCTGGATCATTTTTTTTCAATTTTTAATATGTATACTCTTACTGATCTCTTGTTAATATTTGCTGATCGTTTCTCGCTGATCTTATTTTGCATTATCTTTTATTTCAAATTCCTGAAAAAAAGGCTGACAGGAATATTTTTATTTAATTAATCGAACAATAAATAAAGGAATCGGGAAATATTATATGATTAACCGAGACTAGTTGATGTAAAGAAAGCAAAAAACCGTTTTAATATGAACTTTTGGAGATTTGACAGGCTTAAAAACGAAAAAAAAACCTAAACACCACAAAGGGGATCGAACCCTCGGGAGCCCGCTCCAAAAGCGGAGCGCTACCGGGTACACCACGGACTGAACATCTTGCATAAGCCGCGGGAGGCGGATATAAAGGGGGAAGGTGGTGGATTTTTTACGGGAGGGGGGGGGGGGGAATTTCCCAGGGAATAAATTTAAAAAAGAAAATTTTGGACAATTTGACAATGAATTTAAAAAGATATAATAAAAAAATCAATATTTCTAAGGTATAGAATAGATTACTAGATACAATTTACTAGCTTAATTCAATCTAGGAATAGAATCTAGGGATAGTTCCTAATAATCATGGGGGAAAACAAACGTTTTGAGAGATCAGAAATAAAGGAAGCTTATAGGCAACTAGGGTCATTAAAATGGGCAAATAGGCAAAATAGTCTATCCAAAAAACATACAAAAATTGTTTTAATTATGAAATAGACACAATTTCCTACAATTCTGTCTAGAAATCACATTTCTAGCGCGTCTAGGAACCGAGATAGAGCCGCTTCAAGTTTAGGAGGCTAGAGACGCAGACGACAAGACACGCTGCGTCTCTAACCTCCGGAAACTTCAAATTACCGTATCTCAAGTTCTAGATAAGCTAGGAAATTGGTTTTCGGAGAGAATTGAATGTCTTGAAATAGACTTTCAGGTTGTTCACAGAACGGTATTGATTCAAAAATGTATACAATCTAAAACCGCAGCTCAAACAATGCGATTCTGTCCAAAAACCAATTTCATAGCTCATCTGGAACTCGAGATACGGTCATTTGAAGTTTCCGAGGTTAGAGACGCAGCGTGTCTCGTCGTCTGCGTCTCCAGCCCTCTGAATTTGGAGCGGCTTTATCTCGGTTCCAATTTTGAAGTTTCGTTTTTTCAGGATCAAAATCTACTCAAATCTAATCTTACTCCAGGAGCTCACACAAACCAGGGGGATCCGACTTCGGGGCTGGGTACATACCAAGGAACATCTTTTCGTCGCAGGAGAGGTCTGATTCTGAAATTTCAAAAAATAATAATTACTTCACATTTCTAGGTACTGTTTTACTTACCATCCTCCTGAAATTTGCGGATTTCGCGAATTTGCTTCTCTCCAAGATCTCCTACATACTTTTGCAACTTCTTGATTTTCTTGGATGCCTTGGAGAAGTCATGGGATCCCTTTTTCGGGTTTTTCTCGCATCTTGAAGTTCCAATGCTCTCTTTGAATCGAATTGGCGGTTGAATGGCCGTGTTCTTGGTCAAAGTGGTCTGGGACCCATTGAAGACGTCCGCATGTTCCTTTGGCGATACATTCAGTGGGATGTTATAGAACGACTGAGTGGATTTCATATTTGGATTTTTCGGGCTTCCTGAAGTTCCAATGGTCCATTTGAATCCAGTTTTTTGCACTACGGTGTTCTTGGAGGAATTTGCCACTTGTATGGGCTTGCAGGACTTGGCTGGATGGCTCATCGGCTTCTTGGATCCTTCGAACAACTTCACATTCATCTTTGGCCACCTTTTGGGCAAAGAATCGCAGAGAGAATGTATCGAGAGCAGACGACGACGTGGGCCAGATTTGTTGTTGTACCGATTGACCATGTCCAGGGCTTTTCTGGACGAGACATTTGGTCCAGCTGGAATGGAAGACTCGAGAGTCGAGGACTCTGCAAATTAGATGTTTAGGATCTTTAGAATGTCTAAACTCCGTCCACCTTTCTGGTTCTTGTTGCCATCAAGCATAGCGTTTTCGAAACGTTGTTTCTCGATGGGTCCATCTTGATTGATTTGACTTGGAAGACGGTGATGCTCCTTTTCGGAAGGCTCCTTGGGATTCAGATGTCGTTCAGCGTCTTCCTCCTTTTGCTGGATATTGTGAAACGGCATTTTTAAATTAATTTATTTTGATTCCAAGTTATCTGAAAAAAATTCTGTCAGACATGACCTCAAAACGGATAGAGAACCTTACATTGAGTTCATTTATCTCCGTTCCTTTGAAGGATAACAAAAAGTTGTCAACTGATAAAATATATCTCAAATTATCACAATTATTTTATCAGTTGACCATTTTTTGGTATCTCTCACAGGAGCCGAGAAAAATGAGCTCAAAATTGATGCAATCGAATAAAAATTTATTAAAGGCTTTTCAACTTTGATCCAGTTCATCTCGGATCCTGTAACAGATAACAAAAATGACAACTGATAAAATGTTTATAACGATACAGTGCGTCCAATAAGTCTAATTTCCTGGGGTTATTACACATTTGAAATCGAATTGCATTCACAGATTTTTGATAACTTTTCTAGTTTTAGCCAGACGGCCAAAATATAGGGGGTCCTAAACTTATTGGACGCACTGTATAATAAACATTTTATCAATTGACCATTTTCTGATATCTTTAACAGGAGCCGAGAGAAATGAGCTTAAAGTTGACGGAGTCAGGATGCACTTCTATTAAAGGGGTTTCAGGGTGTTCAGGGAGAAGGCGAGAGTGGTAATGCCGCCGAAAATACATTCAAAAGCGCATTGTCGGTACAGCAGAGAGAAAAAGAATTCAATTTTAGAATACGGTATTAAAATAGTATGCACTTATTCAAAAAACAGTTTTGCTATTTTGCAGCTGCATCCATGATGGACTCTCAACTGTATTCTAGGCAACAACGCGCATCTAGGATAATAATGGTTCGAATGTGTCGCAAAAAATCAATAAGAGAAGAACAGCACAGTCAGAACTGTCTAGAAAACCTGACTAGAGTATTCTTGTTCTCAATAGAACCCTCTACCGCTAACAACTGACCCGAGCGGGAAGAAAGTGACGCCAAAAGAGAGGAAGACGTTTCCTTAAATGCGCTCTAATGAGACACACAGGGGGCCCTCGCAACGCCTGTCCTCTCTCCGGCCAACGTGCCCAATGTAGGCAAAACAACACAGCCCATCTCACTTGTACAGGGAAAGAGACTGTGTGCCCTTGAGAGAGGCGAGGAGGTGATGGGGGGCAAATTGCTCATGATAACCCTAACTATTACTAGGTTGACCTAGATATACCCTTTCTACCCTTTGAGATGTTTTGATCCGTTTAGATCTTATCGATTTTGGTTCAAATTTGCGTTTTCTAGAATGTTCGATGCACCCTATATCGTACGACCTCATTTTTAGCTTTGCTTTCTTGCAGTATTGTTCTAGATTTGGGTTACTGTCCTTCTAGATTTCATCGCATTATATTCTAATTAGCGCTTTCTAGAATGATCGATGCATCATATATCGTGCGACCACACTCTTAGTTTTCTTCTCAAATCCCCCTTTCCGTATTGTTGAAGACTAGGCCCTTCTAGGCTCGATCAATTTGAGTTCAAATCTTCGCTGTCTAGAATGGTCGATGCACCATATACCGTACGACCTCATAATCGTTTTTTGAAACGTTTTCAGATTATTCAAACCGCCGTTTATCGAAGATCATTTTTTCAGAAACACAGTTTCTGCAGACGAGGGACCGAAAATTCCAAGGAATCGAAGAATCCAAAGAATCTAAAAGATCGAAACGATGAAACATCTGAAACCAGTCCAAGTGGCTGAAATCAGTTCAAGTGATGATAGCTGGAGGATGGGTAGGTTTTCAAATACGAGAAACTTTAAAATTCCAAGTTTTCAGATCTGATGAACGAAACAGCCAAGGTTGGTAGTTTGTACCCCAGACCATATTCAGATCCATTGGCTCTTCAGGCGATTTTAGAAGGGAACGAAGTCCACCATAACAAGGAGAATGAGGGAATGAAGCTTCGGAAGGCGATCATGGCTGGAGTCGATTCAACGCGGAAGAGAAGATCAGCTCAAAAAGATCAGGACCAAAATAAGCCAAACAAAGTTCAAAAAATAGGTCAGAAAAGTGAGTGAGAGGAACTAGTAATTTTTGAGTATATTGAGGTTCACAACTTGATTTTTTTGAGCGCATATATCTCAGTTCCTATCAGGAATGCTGAAAATGTATCAACTGATGAAATTTTTGTGATATGATGATAAACAATTTATCAGTTTACTGCTTTTTGATATCTCTCATAAAAACCGAGATAATTGAGCTCAAAGTTGAAGGAGGTCATTCTAATAGTGTGTCGACGGCAAGCTTGATTATTTCGGTTCGTATGAGAGATATCGAAGTGTGATCAACTGATAAAGTACGTATCATAATTCCACCAGCCTTTTATTAATTTACCGCTTTTCAATATCTCTAGTAGAAATTGAGATAAATGAGCTTGAAGTGGCCCAGTATCCAAGGGTACATCGAAAAAGGGTACATCGAGTATTAGGGTGCATCGAGTTCCAAGGGTACATTGGATTGTTCGGTACAGGTAGGTGGACAAAAAAAGTAAATCAATATTTTTATACATACTATTTTGATTTTTGCTCAAAATTATAGGCTTAGGCGGAAATGCCTTACAGTCTAAGATCCCATGTACCCTCAGAACCAATGTACCCTAAGAACTCGATGTACCCTCGATGTACCCTTTTTCGATGTACCCTTGGATCGTGGGCCGCTTGAAGTACGCATGGACTGGCGTTTTTGAACCGTGAAGAGCTGAATAAAATCCGAACAAAACTTTTTTCAGGTTCCAAGCTCGAGACTCCGACTCCGGAGAAAAAACTTGGCAGCTTATACCCGAAGCCTTATGCTGACCCACTAGAATTGAGCAAGATTTTGAACCACCAAAAACCATGGTTTTAATTTTATGTGAGTTTTAACGAAAAAAATATTTTTTTTTCTTCAATTTTTTCTGTTTTAGGGTCATCACAATTATCACAAAGTGGTCGTCACCAACTTATTCCTGCCATTCGTACTTTCCTGCCTATCGATGATCTACCTGCCTGCTCCAGTTTCCGTAACCGGAATCCATTATCAACAGCTCATGCTTGAATTTCTCCCATTTTTTGCCAGCATTCGTTTTGCCTACCCTTTTTCCTTCATTAGATTCTCCCTATCCCAGTAAGATAACTCTAGAAATCCCAGTAAAATTTCCCTCAAACAGTTTCGCGGTCCCTTTTCCCAATGCTCTCGTTTTCATATCATTTTCTAAAAACCTTGTGAAACTTCTCCTTTCTTCCCCGGTAATACCATTTTTTTTGTACCCAATTTCCTTTCCCCAAATAGTCAAAATCTTTAATTTTTTCTAGAAATCTTATAATTTTAATTGTTCCCACCTTTTGTAGTTTTCTAGCACCCAGATTACTACCCCTGTCAAAAAGTCCCCCTATTTTTTATATATTTAGTTTTTATAGGACTTTTCTTACCCAGTTTTTTTTTCTAGAATCGAGATTATTCCTTTCAAAAAAGGGTTCTAGATTTATCTAGACCCTCTCGTTCATTTTTTCGTCAATTTTAGTTTTTAATAGCTCTTTCCACCAGCGATTTTTGACTTTTTTAGGCTCTAATCATCTCGATTATTTCAATTGTTCCCCCGGTCCCGTCCAAATTTTAGGGATCTAGAAATCAACTCCCGCACTTCAAACTAAACTCCTATTATGTTAAAGGTGGGGGGACAGGAGATTTTACGGGGGATTTTTGGGGCCAGAGTATGCATTCTACCGTGACGGTGTACAACGCTTAACGCCACTCTGCGTACAGCTGTCGTCCTCGCCTTTATGTATGCAATCGGGCGACCGCTTTCTCTTTGCCCGTGTAGCTCAGTCGGTAGCGGCGCCGCACCTTCAATCCTCGCCCCACACGTTCAACTCCTCGAGGGGCATATTTAAACGAAATTTCGAGAACATAATTTTTTTCATTTCCCCCATCTTTAATTACACCTATTTTTACTCTATAATCACTTCATTCACCTCCATTGTATGTTCAATCTTATTTTCCCCCGGTTAGATTCCCAAAACGTCCCATGGCTCTTCAAAACAATTCCCACCTTCCATCGGTTAGATTTCAAAGTTCCCCTTGTCTTTTTGAACATTGATAGCAAACATTTTCTGTTGAAAATTTCGCTTTTATTGTTTTTAAAGTGTCCCAATTAGGCCGCATTTTTTAAAAGATCACATCATCTAGAAATCGCTTGAAAATGCTCTAAAATTTTCTACATTTTACCCATTTCTAGATTCCAACAGTCTTAGATTTTTAATAGCCGTTTTCTTCCCCTAGAAATTAACCATTTTTAGGTTTTTTCAATTGTCCAAAGTACCCAGTTTATATTGGTTCCCGACTATTTCTGAAAAAATAAACTCGTGCTTTATCAGTTGAATATATTTAATGTAGGTATACGATATTAAAGGCACATGCACTGGTTTGAAGACAATTAGCGTCATTTCTTTCCTGGACTGGCGATGCGCCTTTAACTAGACTAGAGTAATAATGGTTCGAATATAGTGTGCTGTGTCGATTGTTGACAATCGACAAAAATCGACGAAAATCGTCAAAATCGGTGTCGATTTCGTCGACTCGATCAAAAATCGACATTCAAAAAGTCGACAAAAAATCGACTTTTCAAAAGTCGATGAAAGTGAAAATCGACAAAAGTCGATTTTTGTCGATTTTGAATCGACTCAAAATCGACAAGAATCGACAGAAAATCGACTTTTGTCGACTTTTGTCGACTTTATTGTCCGAGAGGACTACACGACCGGTGACCTAGAAACTGCCTGTGACCGGGGTATTTTTAATGAAAAACAGGCATTTTTCATCGAATTTTCCACTGAAAAACCGTATTTTTCTTGTTTTTTTTGAGTGTTTTGTTTTTTTTTCTGTTTCATTTACGACATTCTTGCTTTTTGCAGATGTATTCGTCACTTCTTCGAAAAAAAAAAGATTCTTCGAAAAACAAAATAACGAACAAACTGTGACCTGTAAACTGTGCGGAAGGAGCATAAAGTTCCATTCTTCGACCACAACGATGCATCAGCACTTAAACAGTCACCACGAGAAAGAAGTTGAAGAAATGGAAAGATCGGTAAGCAGAAAATTATATATTTTTTGTTAAATTCTTAATTTTAGATAGTACATAAAGATCAAGAGCCACGGCATCAAATAATTGGAAAAAATGATGCGAATGATGATCTGGCTATGTGAGTTGTATCCCGTTCTAAAAATGAACCACGCTTATCATTTTCAGAGCTATGTGTTCTTCGACTGTGCCTTTCCGCTTCCTCAAAAACAAACATTTTCGAGAGTTCTGCAGAAAGCTTATGCTGAACTTTGTTCTTCTTCTTCCCTTTTTTTAAATTTTGTCGCTTTGAATTTTCTTCTATTTTCATTGGCATCATATTTTGTACCCCCGTTGAAACTAAGTTTTACACTATTTGTTTTTTATCCATAAAAATAAAGTTGTTACTCTAAAATAAAGATGTTACAATGATTTCTTCAAAAAATTAGAAAAAAAAAACATTTCTCGAGGTGAAATTTTACTTTGAAGTCCGGAAAAGTCGATTTTTCGTCGACTTTCGTCGATTTTTTGTCGCTTTTGTCGATTTTTCTGTCGATTTTAAGTCGACGCAAAATCGACAAAAGTCGATTCTTGTCGATTTTCGTCGACGCAAAATCGACAAAAATCGACAACGAAAAGTTCGATTTTCATCGACAAATAGCCTTTTCGAATTTTTGAATGTCGACTGTGTCGATTTTCAAAGTCGACAAAAATCTTCGATTTTCGAGTCGACTCGGCACTCTATTCGAATATTAGGTTTACCGGAAAGTAACTATCCATTTTTTTATTCGTGATTATTGTAAGATTTTGGGAAAAATGAAATCGAGTTTCCAGCTCACTGAGCACATCTCATAGTGAGAGACAATGAGAAGGAGAGAGACGCAGAGAACTGGATTCCTCTTTGTCATAAGGGTTTCAAAAAATTTTGGAAGATTGGAAACTCTGGGAAGAGAAGGAAATGTGCTCTACCGAACAAGACGGAAGCAGTGCATACGAAAGGACTTAGTAGCGGTTCAAGTACCTCTTCTTGGGTGGTCCATTTTCTTTTTAATGATCATTACGGTAGATGAGAACATGAGGATGATGGGAGGTAGATAATTGAGTGTCGATTTGTGGGAATACGAGAACATTCTCTTGGTTTGGGATATAGGTATGGAATGAGCAATTTATGGTAATTATCAGTGTGTCTTTTAGACACGACTTCGAGAAATTTTTCGAGATGGATTCATTTTGACGCGGTGGCCTAACTTTTGCCAAATGGCCTGACATTTTGGAGTTTCTGGAATTCTAGAAATCACCTTTTTTCAAAAAATTTAGAATTTCGAAAATTCAGGAACGCTCAGAATTTTCGAAATTTGATTTTTGGATTTCCGAGATTTTTGAATGTTTTGAACTTTCAGAATTTTCGTAATTCTAGAAATTTCCAGATTTCTCAATTTTTGGAATTTGTTCGACAACTCCAATTTTTTTGCACAAGAATCATACATTTCTATTTTATCCGGATGGGATCATTTTTTTTTGCATCATGGGGGAATTTTGTAATTAGGGCAATTAATTAGGGGTAATTAAGTAT